TGTGTGTGTGTGTGTGTGTGTGTGTGTGTGTGTGTGTGTGTGTGTGTGTGAGAAAAAAAAAAATACCCAGACACTTTGACTAGAAATATAACTGAAAATAAATAAAATGAGAAGACTTACAAACTTAAATTAATTAATATTATAATTATTATTAACAAAATATAATATTTTATATAATAATATTTATATTTTATAATATATATATATATATATATATATAATAGAATTAAAAAAATAATATATAATATAAAAAATTTAAACAAATAATAAATTAAATAAATAAAATTTAATAAAAATATCAGCATTTTAAAAAGTAATATTTTAAAATAAAATGATAAAATAAAAGAATAATTAAAAAAATAAAGAGATTTAAGTAAGATATTAAATAAAGATTGCATTGGATACTAATTAATTAGAAAATTAATATAGCTTAAAAAAAACAAATGAATAAATAAACATGAAAAAATAGAAAGCACAGTTACATCAGCAATACAAAATAGTAATAGATTTTAAAAAACAAGACAAAAGTAATATTGCCTGAATACACCACATCCTGTACCGTGGTGTAAAACTGACTCACTGGTTGTTTTTGTTAGAACGAGTCGGGTCAGCTGATCTTCTACGAGCGTCCTGACACCGATGGACCCAAACTGTCCTGTTACTCAATCAGTCCAACCAGCGACCCGCCGAGACTCCGGGTAAAACACCGAACAACCCGAGTGTGTTTCTTCTGCAGCCACACACTGCCGTTTATTAAGTGTGTGTGTGTGTGTGTGTGTGTGTGTGTGTGTGTGTGTGTGTGTGTAGACCATGCTGTCAGAAGCCCTCGGGGTTAGAGGTGAGGTGCGGAAGGAGCGGCGGCTGTTTCTGATCGGTCAGACCAGAGTTCACCTGGACGACGTGGAGGGACTTGGAAACTACATGGAGCTGGAGGTCAACACACACACACAGTTTTTAATGTGTATTATACATTCAGCACATTACATAAATCAAGTCATTTTTATTATACTGTTTTATCATAATTGTTACTTGCCAACTCGAAGTAATGAAAACTGGTTTTGTGTTGCGCAATTATGAGGAAATTCTGATTAAAGAAGTATTTCCTAATCATAAAATAGGGTTCTGATGAACCCATAATAACCATAAAATAGAAATAAACATAATGTTGGGAAATATTACACCTTTTTATGAGAATGTTCAGTAGAGAAGAGTGACCCTCCGACTCGTCCTGATTTAATCAGCCATCTCTTTTTGAGTGACGTTGTACGTGTTTGTTTGTTTAGGTGGTGATGCGTCCGGAGCAGACTGTTGAAGACGGACAGCAGGTCGGTCTGTCCGTCTGTGTAAACGTCAAAATTCTACCAACGTTACATTAACATTTAAAAGTACACGCGTGTTGGTAAACTTAACTTTTGTGTGTCTTTTTACCGGCACAAACAGTTTGATTTGATCTGTTTTGTTGAAGGTGGCCGAGGGTCTGATGGAGAAGCTGGGCGTCTCAAAGGAGAGTCTGGTGACGGGAGCGTACGTGGACCTGATACTGAAGGGACACAAAGACCACACACAAAACAAACGCACCCCTTGGCGAGCAGGACGATAATGACTAAACTCTTCAGTTTTGTCAAACAGTAGTTAGAATACTCTGTAGTAGTTTCACTGTGATTAGAATCTGATTCGTTAACTTTTGTATTTACTTCTTTGACTTCTTCTCTAAATAAAGGAAGTCAAACATCAGCTTTGTGAATGGATTCAAACAGCACAAAGTTAGTTCAACAAAAAGATCATTTAAATTGAATAGACTGTATCGTTTAGGGTGACACGCAGCAAAGGGCCCGGGGCCGGAATCGAACCGGCGACAATGACCAAAACCCACGAGGTGTGCGTGCTCGACTAGGTGAGCTGCTGTGGTGCTTACTTCTTTTCTTTTTGACATAAATGATAAACTGATGCAAATCAATTTTCTGTTGATTAAAATATATTATTTTTACCAAAAATAACGAAAAATCTGAGTACAGTTATTTACCAGAAGCTTTGTTTCAATTGCGTTCCAATCAACGAATTATTCTAGAGAGCTATTGAGAGCTTTCCTCTAATATTTATCTTCTCATTTATGCAAATAGTTTCCCCAAAAGACCGACAACGAACATCCTCCGTGTTCTCCAGAGTTTGCTCATCTAATTTACCCAATAACAACATTATGTCTTTAAGTTGGATTGACCCTGTGTATTGGATTGACCCTGATTGTAGCAGGACTAGCATCCTTTCAAGTAGCCTAAAGATACGCTATTTCTATAGAATTGCACTATGTAATTACTGTTCTTCTGGTATCTGAATGTGTAAATTATTACAGAATACAAACAAAATACAGATTTAATAGGATTAATATGCAGGTTTGAAGGTCTACAGGAATATTTACTAAACGTATCCAAGATTCTGCATGAATTGCATCTTAACTCGTCTAAAAACACATCTCTTCTTTTAAACATATACCCTCGTGTCCCCACTCGGGGGCAGAGTTTCATTGTAAGCGGCAGAAACACAAACCTCAAAGACGGAGCCACAGATTCGCTTTCCTCCACCTCATTTTATTAAGCAAAGTATCAGAGTATCAGGCCTGCAGTTAGTCGTTTAACAAAGATAACTTAGGGAATGTAATGAACAATACGGTTTGACAACTGCTTCAAAACCAGAGGATGCAGAACAATAATAATGAGGGAATGTGGTTAAATGTTGAACTGTAGTGTGTGTGTGTGTGTGTGTGTGTGTGTGTGTGTGTGCCAGATGACTCTGTATGCCAGTGTTGAGAATAATAAGACGTAATGAAGAAAAGCAAACTTATACTGAAACTAGTTCACATCCATCTCTGGCTGCGTGTGCTCAAGATGTAACTACAGTACAGCAATTTAAAAAAACAAACATGTTACCTATTACATAGTGGATCAGATGGCTTAAAGCCACCAAAAAAATATATATATATATTAATAGCCCTCACACATTAGCGCTCTCTGCCTTTAGTCTCTAATCAGGGTCGGAATTTAACCAAAAACTGGCCTGAAACGCATTTAAATATCCAACTTCACGCGTGTACGAGAGATGAATCAGTTAATCGGGAATAAACTCACCGAAACTGTAAAGATAAAAAAAATAAACCCTGCTTGTTCTACTGTGGCGGCGCTGCACAATGGAGATCAATACTCTATCATTGGACATAGTGTTACTGCTTCCTCTCTGAAAGATAACATTCACGAGCGTTTAGAGTGAACCGATCTCCAACGTAACATATACAAAAATAAAGATGGAAAATTAAATCGGACTTTTTTTCAGGAGAACGTTCCCTCGCTGCTGATAACAACTCAGCGTGTTTAACAACAAGAATCCACTGTACATATCAGACTCTAGAAGATATATACTGTCAGCGCTCGTTAATGATTTACATCCAAAAATAAAATAAAATCTTCAGTCAGTTTTTTTAAAGTGATCGGTAAAAACTTCGGAGGCTGGTGCGTCCTGCAGCGGGACAGTCAGAAGGTCAGTACTTCACACATAAAGAACACAAGCAGGCCCCTAACAAAGCTCATCTTTACCACAGTGTCAGTGACTACACCTCGGTTTATTTTACAGTGTCTCGCCGTTTCTCTTATCGTCCAATCACAGCAGCATGGACTCCTGCATGGCGAACGCCTCCTGTGCGTGCCTGTAGTGTGGTCCTCCAAACAGCTGGGGGAGCTGTTGCCTTACGACGGGCTGCTGCTGCTTCTGGAACTGAGTCCTGTAGTGGAGCAGGTCGTCCGGGTTCGGGGGGAAAGCGAACTCCTGAACGGGGGACATTTGGGCTCGCTGGAAGCTGGGCGAGCGTGGCACCCCGCCCGGGGATTGAAGGGGCAGAGTGTCCTCCGGTGCCCACGGGAGCCCGTCCACAGGCCGCCGAGGCCCACCTTCCGGTAGGTAGTGTGGAACCGCCTCGCTCCTCTGACGCCCCTCAAACCCGTAGTCCACCGGGGCGTAGGCCTGTGCGGTGGAGGTGAGTTGCTGCAGGTAGATAGGCGTGGAGTGCTCCGGGGGAGGCCTGGCGTTGCGGTTGGAGCTCGGCGGCGGCGGCTGGTATGTGGCGTAGGAGTTGTTCATGAGCGCCTTCTCTGGGGAGTGGTGGTTGTTTTGGCGCTGCGTGGTGGCGTACGCTCGCTCGCCGTACACCACGTTGGAGGGCGGGGTAAGCCGAGAGGGCGGAGCATAGAGTCTTTCCTCTCCTCTGTGGTCCAGGCTCACGCTGTAGGCGGGATGCAAGATGGGGACTTCGGTGGTGGTTCTGGCTGGGGAGTGCTGCTGGGGAGTGCTGTTGTACTGGCTCTGGCTGCCGGGGTAGCCCGCGTGGACTCCTCCTGGACTGTTGTGGGAAAACGCAGGAGGAAGAGGGTGTTGGACAATCCTGGGACCCGATGCCACAGAGACGACGCTCCCGGCCAGGCTGGGGCTTCCCTGATGGAGGGACGATACGCTGAAAGGCGTCTCACTGCGAGGGGTCCTCATTCTGGACGGAGGTCTGTCGAGCTCCAGGATCTCGAAGTTCTGCTCTGGCAGCCCCGGCACATTGTCGTACTGGGAGGCGTTGGAGCCGCGGTTGGAGTCGGGGATGAAGCCCTTGGGGCGCGGCCGGCGCTGGTGGGGCGGTGCGCCGTCTTCCGGACTGGAAGGAGCCGGCGACGCCCCTCTGCTCAGCTGGACCTCGCGGGCCGCCGCCTTCACCGCTTCCAGCTTGGTGTCGGAGGGTTTGAACCACCGGGGGGTGATTTCTCTGTGAGAGCTGGAGCCCGCATTGGTGTTATGGTTGGCGATGGCGTGGCTCTGAGGCTTCACCCGATCTCCTTTGGTGAGCTGTGGGGTGGGGGCTGAGGGTGGTGTTGCTCTCCTCTCAGGTGTGGTGGAGGCGGACTGCTTCCTCTGCTCATGGGGGATCTCCCCGGAGCCCCTGGAGCGCACATCCCTCTTGTCAACCCTGTGGTGGCGGATCGATTTCTCCAGCGAGTCCCGGCGCGACCGGCTGGGGGGCCGACTCTCCCGCTGGCGCTCTGGTACGGGGGTCCCCGAACTCGGTTCCCCGGGAGGCTCGGCTGGCTCGACATGGCTCAGACCGTTGGCCACGTGGTTCACCACCACGGCCAGCTCGGGAGGAAGCTGCCCCAGAGGCTTCTTGGGAAACTCTTCTTCTTTACCTGCAAAGATGAAAACAAGAGGGACACACATCAGAGAAAACCATCAGGGACCAGAAGTGAGCGGTGATGGTTTAGACACACTGTGTGGCGCTGATTCACATCAGATGAGGAGTCACGACAGGGACATGGATTCATGCAACACCACTGCCAGAGAGAGGTACAACAAAATAAAGGAGAACTTCACAGGCAAAGAGCAAAGGACAGAAAAAAAACATCAGAAATAATGTTTGATATCAATTCTGCGCCTGCTGGAGGGGCTCAATTAGGAAGTGACATTCAATCGACTGGTCTCTGAAATGAAGAGTTTGTCTCCATTTCATTAAGCTGTACTTAGCTGCAGCAGTAGAAAGGTCGTACAGAAATAGTTCTTGATTAATGAACCACGTTAAATGTACCGAGACTGATGAGAACAAGCGTTAAAGCCACATTTCTTCACTTAGACTACCCGGCCTGGACCAAGTGCACGTTAAAGACATTGATACTAATGCTTCACGTTAAAGAAGAAGTAAAGAGTACAGTCGACAGGAACATATACAGTGAGCAGACACAGTGACGGAGGGGGCTGTGAGGGTGATCAGAAGAGTCGAAAGATGATTGAGGAAGGAAACTTAAATGTCTGTCCGTGACGAGTTTATCCTCATTACAACCGGATCAGTTCATGTGGAAAAAGTTAAACAAAATTGTTAAAAAGTGTCGTTTCTCGCACCAAATTAATCCGGTTTCTTGTCCTCGTTCACCGGAGATTATCACGTCCACAAACCGGTAAGTAAACCTTCTCCGGTCCTCTACGTATTCTTTTAATATGTAACCGAGGCAGGATGATAGTTTACTTTTCTTCTGACTCTCGCAGATGTAATTCAGAAAGCTCATTAAGATTTTACATTTCATTTAAGATTTTTTAAGAGATATGCAGTCATGTTTTTTGGCAGAAAAGTCGGATAAACAACAAATTTTAGCCAGAATTCATGTTTGAAACCTGTCGCTACAACCTGAATATAAGAATCTGATGGTGAAATATTTATCGCTGAAGCAGAGTGTGTATTTTTCTTATTTAATTAAAATAATCATTTAAAATTCCCTTCATTTTAGACTGAAGGTGCATTCTGGTTCAGGTGAATGTCCTCTGAAGTATACGAGCATCGTTTGACAGGTTTTATTTAGTCCTCCATGTTTTTCTGACTTTATGACGAAGCTGTGTTGGCCTGCAGCAGGTATCGGTATATTTTTTTATTTCACACGGCTGTAAAGAGGAAGTTCTTTCAGTGTAAAAACAATGAAACCTGTCTAACCTCGCCTTAAGGAGTTCTACCACCACAGTATAAATGATGCTGTCGAGGCCTTTTCCTCGCTTATGAACAAAAGGAGGGAGGGAAATAAAACCGTAGTGATGTTATTGGATTTTAAGGGTCATAAAAGATAGTTATTGTTTTGTATGAGAGTACCTATCAGTATAAAAGATGAGAAACGGTTGGTTTGACAGTGTGCAGTACCTTTTATTTTGAAAGAACAGATTTATTGATACTAAATGTTAGCTATTAGTAGCCTTCAAACTCAGTTTTTGCAGAGGTTGGTGACAGAAAAGATCACAGATTCATCCAGCTGTTTGCACAGAGTACATTACACTGCGGTGGTTAACTCAAACTAAGCCGGGTGACGTTCAAAACCATCACAGTTCAGCTAATTCAGATACAACTAAATATCCCCCTCTGCACACCAGCGAGTGTGTTAGCAGATTTAAACAAAAGCCTCCAGTGTTGGAAAAGTGGCTCATTATCTTGTCAGCGGGCGGGAAAACGAACAGACAGCGACTGTAATAGACGTCGGCTCTGGAAGAAAGGAACGTTCTGGTTCCTTCTGTGTAGTATTTAAGTAAATCTTACAAAAGACAGGAAGTCCACACATAGGATGCTGAAAAAGATGAATAAATTAACCCGTCTTTACAAATATGAGTCTGCACTTTGATGTACTTCTACATAGTCGGTGTATTATACATGTAGTAGTTTGTAACAGCGGTGAATCCGAACTAACTCTGACCGAAGTCACACAGTAACAAACAAACGAACTGATGGAGGTAGTAGTAGAACAGCTTCAGTTCCTCGTCGGATGGCAAAGTAAAGCGTTGAAACTATTCTAAATATATACTCTTATAATAGTAATAACGGTTCTTTTAGGTGTATAAAATACGCCCACAGCAGTACATTGCTTCGCTCCCTACAACCACACTTTAAAGAGAAATAAGCTCCAGGTTTAAGAAGTAAATGTGCAGATCAGCTGTTGATTTTGGCCTAAAAGAATACTTTGATGAGCTATCAAACGTCCCAGTGTGGTGCAGTACCGTTAGTTGGCCACCAGACGGCACACAACGTCATCTCAAAGAGCTTTGGAATTAAAACACGGCAGTTAAAAGAAAAGAGAGTAGGAGAGCCAGCCACTGCAGGACTGAAGCAAAGCATCTGAACTTAGTAAAAAATATCAAGTGTGGGATAAAACACAGCTGGAGGACGGAGTTTGTGAAGGAATAACCCCCCCCCCCCCCGAGTGCTGCTGGACAGACAGGCGACAGACAGGACGGACGGACTGACTGAGGGACAGATGGGACAGAGACATGGAGAGGGTTAAGACCAGTCAGGATAGCCCACCGGTTACTGTTGTAGGAGGGAATGTGGCCCGCACTCACGGCCACACTCCTGTTGTTGTTGGCTAACATCGTTTGTGAAGAAGAAGGGAGAGAAGGAAGATTAATGAGGAGACAGAGCAAGATTAGAAACACACACTGTTCATGTAAACGCCTCAATACAGAAAGACGGCCGTTTGTTTCGCTGTCAAATAAACTCCCATGTTTTTGTCAAATATTTTAGAATTATTCCTTATTTTTTCTTTAATTAATAGACTAATTGCGGCGTTTATAAATTCCCAAAAAGTGGTAAAAAACACCAAAGGAGACGACTTTGAACAGCTAAAACCCCAAAAACTCAGTTTACAATCATATAATACTGAAAAATCTATGATGAGATATTTATTAGTTCTGCATAAAATATAAATAATACTTGAGATCAGATCTGTAGTAGAAGGTTGATCAGAACAAAGCAGTATGTTGGTTTTAAAGTCGTCTCTGTGGCTTTAACGGAGCTCTAAAGCGTCCTGGTCTCTCTGAGGACCTCGTGCTGGATCAGTACCTGGTGCGGGCAGCTCCAGCTTTGCCCTCCGGAGCTCCGTCATGGACGCCTGTAGCTGCTCCACCACAACGTCGTCCTCGAAGACGAAATCTTTGGCCAAAGTCACCTGCAGAAACTCCACCAGCTCCTCCATCAACAGCTTCATCAGGTGCTCTGTCCATCAAACACACACACACACACACATACGTCAGTAAGTGAGTGTTTGAGAGGCGGACAACAGCTGGTAGCTCTGTGCAGAATAAACAGTCTTACTCTTGTGCAGTTTGAGGATCGTGTAGGACATAGTGGGCAGCACTCGTTCCCCCTCCAAGATGTAGATGTCCCAGATCCTGAGGGTGAGAGTGAAGGGAGTCTGGAGGGAGACGGAACAAAAGGTCAGAAGATCTCACTGTCTATTGTCCACAAATCCCTTAAAAAGACCAAAACTAACACAGTGTTCGTCCATCTTTCAGTACTTTCTGACTTCCCTACCTGATGTAAATCCTAAACAAATGTTTAAAGTTATATTTAAGTTAAAAAGCCTTTAACAGCAGGACACTCATCTTTATAAAACGTACCAAACAGGCGTAAACTGTGTATTTGTTGTACACTTGTTAGCATCAATACAGAATATCACCACACTTAGATATAGAGTTGTTTTTCTTCCTGATTTCAGATGGACAAAATGCTTTTATTTTTTTATTCCAGCAAATGAATCCCTTAACATTAAACATGTGTGGCTTTGGGAAGATTACGCAAAGAAATGTTGCTTTAAAAATAAAATAAAAAAGTACTCACTCTGTCCAGGAAGCACTGGAAGAACCACTTCATGGTGTAGAGGCTGGTTAACACCTCCTGCTGGTCCTGCAGCAGCACAAACACACAGTCTATTCCGTGCATTGATGTACCTCCATTACAATCACATGACCACCCTTGAAGCTGTTAAGTATTGCTACTGAAGACACAGGAAGTGTTCCAACGTGGTCACATAATCCGCAGGTATCTGGATGGATGTCTGGTATTATGAGCAGTTGCTGCATTATTGATGTCTCCAGCAGTGTTTGTGTCTCACCAGGTGCTGCTTCAGTTTGGGCATCGTCTTCCTGAGGACGCGGTCGTGATGCTCCTGGAAACGCATCAGCTTCGGGAAGCCGGGGATAAAAAACCCTAAAAGGTGACCGCGAAAAATTTAAGTTTGCAGTCCGTCACAATATTTTCAAACGTCACGATGGCAGCAGCTGTGAGAGCTCCACAGTCCATGTTCTATTCAATGAAACACCTTCATGGTCAGAGTACGACTTGTGTCTCAACCTCAACCCAGCTGCCTAAGTGCGATTATGTGTTTTACCGTGCATGGCGTGCTTCTGTCCAGACAGCAGCTTGACCAGAGCCCAGAAGGCGTCCTCCTCGTTCATGTAGATCAGCAGCAGAGCTGTGATCTGACTCATGCCCTGGCAGTAGCCCACCTCCTGCAAACACACATCCATCAGTATAGAGACGAGTGGAGTTCTGACTGAGTTCTGCATTCAGTGGGAAACATTTGTTGTAATGACTTGTGTGTCCTTGTGGACTAATCTGTTACTTGTGAAAATGTATCCAAAACCTGAGGTGACATCTTGCAAATCCAGCAAAAAGAAAAAGGCACACAGACAGCTGCTGGGAGTAAAAGAACAGCAACGTGCGAGTGTGAATGACTCACCGTGTTGTAGATGGAGTAGGCTGTGAGGACGTGGAAGAGAGCCTGCTGCCTGAGAACACAAACACCAGGAACACACAGTTTAGAGCCGCGATCGACGTTCATTTCTTTTAACTTGGATATGCATCTTAAACTTCCAGTTAAATCACATGTATGGCCTGTAAAACCAATGGATGTTAAGTATGACTTTTTTCGACATGCTATACTATGTTTTTTTGATAAAATATACTGTACATTTTTGACGTTTTATTGACACATTATGCTGTCAATAACAATATTTTAACTTCAAATACTGGGCCAGATATTTTGTTAATTTTACAGGAGTAAAGGTTGCTGTTAATGCAGAAGTCTATTCCGCAGATACGTACTTGACATCGTAGCGATGCATGAACATGATGTGGTCCCTGTAGGTGCGGTTCACATCCAAGTCGATCTGACGGATGTCTGGGGAGAGTCCTCTGGCTCTGGCTTTTAGTTTCTGCAGACAACCAGCAAACACAGAAACAAGAACAACGGTCAGTGACAGAGGAGACATTTCTATTTAAACTGTCCTCAAACATCTTCTTGTCAGTGCATTTTTGAAATAAAAAAACATTTTCTTCGTCATATATTGGATAATTAATCTGTCAGTCGTGGCATTAAAAAGATTAAACAGATTGTTATCAATAGAAAAATTCTCTTTCACAGTTTATATTTCCCACTTTGTTTCCCGACTTTGCCCTCAGCTAATGATTATTACAATACCTCCACACAGCGATGTTATTGATCCTACCAGCTAAACTTTCTGATGAGATCCAAAGTTTGTCTCCGTTCTTGACAGTGTGCAGATTCACACAAACACAATTAAGCCTCCAAAGCAACATCTTGCCCAACTGAAGCTCAGCGAAATCAAATAAAGCTGAATCTGAATCTTTATGAGGCTTGTGCTGTAATGAAGGCTGATTTTATAAACCGTGTGGGAGAGCAGGACAGTAAAGGGTGTTTTTAGTGGTGAGATCCCGGCTCCGTACCTCGTAGAAGTCTTTCTTCTCCTCCTTCATTTTGGGAATATCGAGCAGCAGACACCACACCTCCCCTCGGAGCTGCAGGGGAATTCCCTTATAGACCCTCCTGACCAGCTGGGAGGAAACAAACAGCAGGAGGTCATTGTTAGAAAGGCCTTCAAAGAGGAGCGGCTTCGCTCACCTCAGGAAACACCCTCCACACTTAGACCAGGTTCTTATTCAGGTTCATAGTCCTAAACCTCAGGCAGCAATGTAATTAGATATCAGATGGTGGAGAGACAGTTACGATGAAAGACCTGACATAAAAATACTCCTCACATTTAATCTTTTTCTTATTAATAATTCGTCTTTGCAAAGAAGAAAAAGGTTTTTCTTATAAATCTCCCATAAAGAGTTTTCATGCCTTTATCTCTCTCCATATGTTTTAAAATAAAGACCTTTCTTTTTAAGCTGGCTTTAAAGTTGGAGTAATGTTACAGCCTTAGTTTTTAGGATTTAATCATTGTTTTGTATATTATCTTCTATCCCTGATTCTTATTTCATTTTGTCATTAAAGCAAATTAAAAAACAACTTTTCTGATGATCGATTCATTGTCATTTATTAAACAAAATATCTTCACAGCTTCCAGCTTCTTAAAGGTGAGAATTGTCTGATTTGCTCCGTTTTATGTCTTTAGACATAAATATCTTTGCGCATCACCTTTGACGCCATTTAACAAAAAGACTAAATAAAACATAACTCATCACATCAACATGATGCCAGGAACGTTGAAACAAGCAAAGTGGAGAAAGAAGTACAGTTTTATCTGCTGAAAGGTTGATGTTGCTGCAGACCACAGAGACTCTGAGCTGCAGGCACTTCCCAAAAAGATTATTCAAAGTAGAGAAAAACCCATCGAGCTGCCGTGAGCTCGTCAAAGACGTCAGAGATGCAAACAGCGCATGCACTCATCCCCGAGCAACAAGCAAGAGGGCTTCTGGAAGGTGAACCACGGCCATCTGGCTGGACGAGCTCCAGGAGAGGTTGTGGGCAGAGAGAGAGAG